TGATTGTTGGGTTTTTCTCTGTATCTATGAAGCGCCTTGAGGTGACTTTTGTTGTGATTTGGCGCTATATAAATAAAATTGAATTGAATTGAATTGAAACAGGAAGTGCGTTTCTCCCCTGGGATAGAGATTTTATAAGTGCTGGAGACCATATTTCATATGCGCCCTATGATATCAGCTGCCACATGTCCTCTCACCTCTCAGTAAACCTTTGTCCGTCCTTTTATTCCTGATATTCCCAGATAGCAAACAGGTGTTACACACTGCTAATTTTGACACTGACCCACTGTGTTGTTTGGGACTGTCCCCTTCACTTTCATCATATTATCATAGTATCTGTGGGAAACCTGGGAAACGCTGATCTGTGAAGTACACAAAGTGCACAAAGTGTATCGATACAAAGTGAACCATCATCAGGATCTCCTGTGTGGCAGCACTGGTATAGGGACACACAGGTGAATGCTGCGTGACAGCGAGACACACCTGAACTCTGAGTGCTTGTATCACTGCCTGCAGCACTCACATGGATGCAGATTCAGCTTGAGCGTTTTGCCCAAGGGCACTTTGTCAGGCAGCCCTGAGGATCCACAGACAGGCTTTACTGTGGGTGTGACATGAACACGAGCTGTACCTGAGCCATCATCCATCCACAGACCTACACCTGCTGAAGGCACCTGTTTTTATATAGCAGTCACACTCTCACACACTCACACACACACTCACACATTGACACACAGACACACACACAGACACACACACACACAGACACACACACACTCTCACACTCTCACACACTCACTCACACACACACACTCCGATGGATGAGTAAATCCTGCCTGAGGATATTTGCCAAGCAGACTGGATCAGCAGGACCGGAGCACGCACTCCAGTGAGACCTGCTCTGGCTTCTGAGGCTGCAGGTGGGACACACAGGTCAGGTGGGACACACAGGTCACGGTGGGACACACAGGTCACGGTGGGACACACAGGTCAGGTGTGTCCTTTGCTGAGCTGTGTGCTTTGTGTACATGAGTGTGACTGTTGTGGTCCATTACAGGACACTTCACCTCAGCTGAGGAGCCAAAGTCCCGACGAGCTGGATGGAGCTGATGAGTACTGACCACAGGTGGAGGTCAGCAGCTCCTTACACCATCACGCTACTCTGAACCTGAACTCCAGTAACCCTGACAAGTCACGCGAGCTCTCCTGGCTACGTCACAGTTGGTCCCGCCCTTTAATCACCCTATCTCAACAGTGGCTGCAGGTCTGCAGCGATTGGCCGACGCCTCACATCCTCGCTCTGTGATTGGCCAGCTTCGCCTGTCATCCAGAAGTTGCCGGCTGCACCTTCGCATCTTCAGCTGCGGTGTAACTTTGAGCAGCTCTGCGCGTGCACGTGCCGCGGACACAGACGCTCCCTCGCCCCGTGCACGCTATCAGTCCCCCCCCTCCCTCCGTGACCATCGTGGGAGGATGACTTTAGAGTTTATCGCGTCCCATCTGCCGGCTGACCGGTAGTAACCCCGGCTCTTTTTTCTGCGCGCATCCGCACAGTTGCTCCATCACTGGCTGGATCGCAGAGCCCTGCCTCTCCTCTCATTGGACTGCTGAGCCAAGCGGTTGTCAGCCCATGTGGCGTGGGCAGGCAGAGCGTGACACATTTAAGTTCATCAGAGAAAAAAGCGTGAATGAAGCGCGGAGGCTAACGGAGGCTCTCACACCTACGGCGGCTGAAGACTCGACACATGCCCGAGAGTGCTGAGCGGCTCAGCCTCACGTTTCACCGGAACATCCGTCGGTTCAGACAGGTAAGCTCGCCCGCGGCTGCTGCTTATTGTGGTCCCGACCGGTGTCCGAACTCGGTCTCCCCGACAGAACTAGTTTCCCCTGCGGGAGCCCACGCTGGACTGTCCAAATCACGGACTAACAGTCTCCACAGTGCTGATTTTTAGTTTACAAACACTTCTTATAATGACTAACTACTCCTGAAACTTTGGAGGATTTAGCTCTTTAAACAGCGAAGTTACAGTGGGATACAAATGATATCAGGCTGATCCTGCCACGATTTGTTCCCCCTGTCCAAATCACGGACTAACAGTCTCCCACATTGCTGATTTTTAGTTCACAGACACTTGTTATAATGACTAACTACTCCTGAAACTTTGGAGGATTTAGCTCTTTCTATAGTAAAGTTACAGGAGAGTAAAAATAGTTATCAGCCAAAGTGTTACTGGTTTGTTAAAACAATCCCATCTGATACCCGGTGAGCAATAAATATATAATTTTCTGTAGTAACTCTCAAACTGAATGGTAATGTAACGATACTCGTTTTTCACAAAATGAAAACATCAGTACTTCCTGCTCCCAGCACAGACACATCCTGTCGGGGATTCCTACTTTGGCACCTGGACCTGAACTCCTCGTTGTTCTTTTCTATCCATCCATATTTGTCTTCCTTCTCTCACCCCAACCGGTCACAGCAGATGGCCCCGCCCCTCCCTGAGCCTGGTTCTGCTGGAGGTTTCTTCCTGTTAAAAGGGAGTTTTTCCTTCCCACTGTCGCCAAAGTGCTTGCTCATAGGGGGTCATATGATTGTTGGGTTTTTCTCTGTATCTATGAAGCGCCTTGAGGTGACTTTTGTTGTGATTTGGCGCTATATAAATAAAATTGAATTGAATTGAATTAGACTGATCCAGGGTCTGCTCTCTGTGGCGCTGCTGCCTTCAGAGTTTCATTGGAGGACAGTAATTCTTCCTTCAGCTGAGCTCACGGTGCTGACAGCGTCCGTGTGTCAGGAAGACCCTGAACAGGTTATTAGGTGATGTGTGAGGCAGTAACGGGAGCAGCTCAGCTGTGTGACAGCATGGAGCTGGGATACAGAGCAGCACTGAGGATGAGGGACGTAGCTCAGCATCTGTGACAGCCCACTGCCATCAGTTATCCTGGAGAACTCGAGAGTCCGTGGACACGTGTTGGAGGCCTGATCAGTATGGTGGCCACGCTGCTGCTCGGGTCCAGTGACCACAGCGCTGTTGTTACTGCAGCGCTGTGGTCACCACGGTGCTTCAGGGCTCATCGATTCTTCTTAGACTCACTCATCTGTCAGATCGTCACCATCGTTCACAGCACTTCATCAGCTTCACATTCAAAGCTGTTTAAAATGAGCAGCTAAGCTAACAGGCACGTGTAGCACAGTGAGATTAAAGAAACCAAACTCATTCCTGGCACTACTTCAGAAAGCATGGAGCCAGTGAGCCCTCTGCAGTGCACCGTGAAGCTTTTAATGACAGCAGTGTTGAAGCAACAAACTGACGTGGAGATGAAATCCAGGAACACGTTTTTCCTGTTCACGCGGCACCCGTGGATCCACACATAGTTACAGTGTGGAGTCATGGAAGGAGCTGAGCATGTGTCATTGTTGTTCACTGTTTCACGCTCTTCCTGTGATGATGCTGACAAGTCAGGTCCTGTTGTGGCTGCTGCAGAGCGAAGCCCTGACAGGAAGGAGCAGAGTGAGGGAGGACGGGGGAGACGAGGGGGATGTGCCCTGAATAGAAATGGTCACGGCGAGCTGTGCGCACACAGTGACTTTGCAATTTAGCAGCTAGCTCGTAGTTAGCGAATTGTCTGCGTACGCTCACGGCGGGGTGTAATCTGGGTCAAGATGGTGCACTGATGTAATCCCAGGGCGGGACGTCCTGGAGTCCAAATCCCTTCAGACTGTGTCGTGTTGTGTAACGTGGTCGGGCTGTCTTCACATTGGTAATGCCACACAAGCAAAACAGAGGCATGAGTGTGATTGTTGGTCTTTGTTGGTGCAACCTCACAGTGTGCAGGTCAGAGCTGCAGGTCAGAGCTGCAGGTCAGAGCTGCAGGTCAGAGCTGCAGGTCAGAGCTGCAGGTCTTTACTCTGGACCTGGAGGGTTTTGGAGACACAGCGTAGCTGCAGCTCTGCAGGTCGCAGACACACGCAGCAGTGTTTTTATTGTGTCCACAAA